AATATTTATTATTACCTTTTAAATTCTTACACACTTTCGAAATTTCAAATATAATGGCATCATTTACAAACTGACAACAGTTTAATCTTAAATGTGTCAAAAGGGTTCCAGAAGTGTGAAGAAAATGTATAAAATCTTGATATTTAATCATACTATAATTTCCACACCATGAAAGATCCAACTGTTGTAAATAATGACACCTAGGTGCTAAACAATTTAATGCAGATGTGTCTAAACAATGCCAGTAAGGTTTTAAATTAAGGCTTGTATATAATAAAGCATCTCTTGTAATATTATTAAAGTGTCTATTTACTCTGCTTAAATGACATAATGATTTTAAATCTAAATTTTTTAAAATTTTTAGTACTGTTTCATCCTGGAAAAACATATTTAAAGTAAATATTACCATTAATATTATAATAATTTATGTAATATGACATTAAAATATATTTTACTGGAAGTGCTGAAAAACTGCCACATGGTTGATTTTCAGAATCAGTTAAAGGCATTAAAAACCTTTCCTGTGGAGAGTTATCTTGTTCATTTAATGCATTTGGTATTGAATGATGAATATCTCTAATAAGTTTTGGAAAATCTTCTTGTAGAAATTGTTGCAAACTATTGAATGCTTCTTCGATAGGAGGGACAGATTGGTAGTGTTGACCTATTTTGGATACTAACTTGCTCTTGGATATATTATCTATTACTTTACTACAAAAATGTACAAATGTATTATAGTTATTAAGTCATGAAAATATTAATATATTATCAATATTAATGCACACATACCTTTTAAAAAGCTTACAGTGTTTTGAAAGTGTCCTTTTAAGAATTGTTAAATCTTGATTTGCTTTCAAATACTCTGGTGTTAGATTATAAATATCATTATTACTTTGTTTAATATAACCCAATTCTTGTGCAAGTTCATTTAAAGTTTGATTATGTAAATTATTAGGTACAATTAATTCTGATGTGCCAATAAATAATACAGCATCTAACTCTGTATAATAATCTAATAAACTATGATTAAATTCCAGTCTTATCATTTTTGTTTTAAAATTACATAGCTGCAAATTTGGAGAAAATATTCGTGGCTTGTGTGGCACCACTTGAGGAAATCCACTCCATAATTGATACCATTTGCCTTCAGAATTTTGAGCCCAAATTCCAACTACACTTCCAGGATTATAAGTTTCATATATTGAGACTCTAATAGGATATACCTCTTGATAATATTCTAGATCTTGATAATATAAGAAATATTGTAATTTATTTTCATTTTTCATATATCATAAGAATTCATGGTATGAAATATATTACATTATAATGTTCCAATAAGTTAAAAATATTTTTAAGAATAAAAATATAAAATATTACAAA